TGTCAGAAATCATATGCTGGAATTTGTATGTTCTTGAGAGATTTATTATCTTTGTTTCAAGAAAGTTGTATTGTGTTCGAAAGCATTATCTAAGAAGTCGGAATAGGAGAGCACTCATCTTAGGGTGGGCTTACTACTTGGACGCTTTCAGGTGTTATCCGTTCCGCACTTGGCTACCCACCAATACGGACCTCAACTTTAGCAATTCCTAGCTAGCATCCCAAAGACTGAGGTCATTAACCTCTGCATAGGTGATTTACTTCGTAGCTTGGTTAGTGATCATATTTATTAAACTTGGATCAAAAGCTACTTCATGCTGAATTTGCACCTAAAAAGAATCGCTAGCACATGTCTGCAGAATCCTTTTTCCATCAGTAGGTATTTGTAATGCTGGCAAGGTAGTCTATGATGTGTATTTACACTGATTTTCTGAATTTGCCTATTAAATCTCGAGTCTATGCACTCCTCTGATTTTATGGCATAGCCTCAAAAGATTTGTCGTATCACTAACGATCATTTAGTTACTTTTTCTGCTAAGTATAAAGCGGCAGCTGAAAGCAAGCGAAATGAGCTTAAATTTGTTGTAGGAGACTGTGTATGGACTGTCCGCATTAATTAAAGACCGTGTCCCAATATACGGATACTAGTTGATGCCAAAGAAAATTGATCTCCTTGAAATCATTGAGAAGATGAGTCCCAATGACTAGCATTTAAATTTGCCAAGTCACATCCACACCACTATTCTTTTCAACTTTTTGCACTTCATGAGTCCATACTGGGGGAGATTCTCGTCAGGAGATGATGGAGTTATTGATTCAAAGACAAATCTTCTTTGACCCTAAGAATATGACGTAGACACAAAAGCCTTAAGAGTTTCTCACACAGAAAGACCACCCATAGGCAGCTCATGGATGAGCAAGCAAAGGGGATTCATCACAAAATTAATCAACTAGACACTTTAGGGACCCATTTGTTTCATATTATTTTAACTGAAGAATAAAAACGTCTCTCCCTAAAATACACTCGTAGTTTTGAACTCCTAGGGCAGAGGCTGCCGCCAGGGCGAGGCTGAACCTGACGGGACCTGGAGCGTGGGCAGGAGATCGTCCGGTGGAGACTCTAGCAGCGGCGCTGGGCAGTACTGCGGCGGGTGTTAGGAGAAGTTTTCTGGATGTGGTGAAGGCAAGGTCCAGGGAGGAGAAGACGGTTGTGCTGCCATAAAAATTAGAGGACATTGATGGTGAATTGGGTTTTTCTTTCACGGCAACAGAAATCAAGACACTTGAGGAGGAATTTTGGTGGGGACTGGTGATGAAATTTCTGGCGAGGAGACCAAACATTGATCAGATCTGTTTGGCAGTGGTGAAAACGTGGGGCTTATAGGAAACGCCTATTATCAGTTTTATGGATTCATCACACGTATTGATTCAATTGAGGAATGAAGAGGACTTTCTACACACCTGGGCTCGGAAAGGAAGATCAATTGCGGGGAGCATTTTCCGTTTGTTCAAGTGGACGGTGGATTTTAATATACATAGAGAGTCATCTATTGCCCCGCAGTGGATCTTTTTGCCTGGGCTCCCTCTCCATCTGTATAGAGTTGATTGTTTGAAAATCCTTGCATCGAGGTTTGGGCGTTATTTAGGAACAGATCACGTGACTCTTAATCGAACAAGAGCGACTGGGGCTCGAATATGTGTTGAGACAGATTTGAGGGCAGAACCAGTGGAGGGTTTTCCTATTAGGTTCCCAACTAGAACATTTTCCCATGAGGTAAAATATGAGAAACTCGATTTCTACTGTAACAGGTGTGGAAGGCAGGGTCATCCCGAATTTGCTTGTAGGGTGGATCAACCAAAGAAGGTACCAGGACGTAAATGGACTAGCGAGGAAAAAGGAAAGGCTAAAATGGAGTGGAAGAGGAAGGAGATGGGTACGTTAGAGGAGAAACAAATCGAGGCGGGAAAGGAAAATATGAGAAGTGCGGACATTGTGATTAAGACAGATGTACGAAAGGAGGAAACTGATTATGCAGTGGATAATTCACAGAATGTGGAGGTTCTTCCAGAAGGAGACCATGGTGAAACTGGAAACTACAGCGGGTCGCAAGATAGGGAACATGCGGTAGAGATGAATGACAAGGAGTTGGGGGAGCTGTTTATTGAGCATGAACAAGCACAAGTATTAAGAATGTGGAGGAGCATGATGGTGGGGCTGGTAGGGAGTTGAAGGTATCGGCTTCGGGTGAACTCGCGGCAAGGGAGAGGCTTGAGCCTGACAACATGGGGAAGCCGTTAATAATCAAAAGGACAGTGTTATTACTCTTGTTGTTGAGGTAATAAATGATGAGGATGTCGAAGAAGAAAGAGCGATTAATGCTGGGTCAGATTGTGAGATATCAGAGGTTCGTGGTGATGCTTGTGATCAGAGAGAAAAGGATTATATGTCAGACACAGAAATTAACAAAATTGCAACAGGGCAGGGTGCTAAAAGGTTAACACTGAGGTACTCACAGAGGGCGCGAGCATGCCCTTCAAAACTGAACTTATGATTGATTCCATGGTAGTGTGGAATGTACGGGGCATGGACACGTCAAAAGGGAGGCTGAGGAAGTTAGTTAAAAAGCATAATGTGGCAGTTTTAGTGGTGGCGGACCTTTACATAGTGACTAGCGTATGGCTATGTTTGCTAAGAAGATAAATTTGTCGGGTTGGCTTTCAAATAAAGGTGAGGGAGGTAAAATTTGGGTTTTCTGGAGGGATGACATTAGAGTCGAGTGGATTGGTGCTTCTTCTCAAGCGTTACATGATGTGGTTCTGAAAGATAATCAAAAAATTATGGTTTCCTTCATTTATGCAAAATGCACTGTCTTGGAGCGAATGGAACCGTGGCAAAAGTTAGAGAGTCTTAGGATTGGTGGCCTGCCTTAGATAGTCTCGGGGGATTTTAACATTATAAGACATGATTCTGAACGTATACGAGGAAATCCTAGACCACTAGCAGCTATGGGTAAATTTAATGATTGCATAGATAAGTGTCGGCTGGTGGAAGTACAGTGTGTGGGGAGGAAACTATCGTGGTGTAATGGACATGATGGACTAGGTCGTAGCTGGGCCAGATTGGATCGCACACCGGCTAACTTAAATGCTTTGCAGCTCTATCCTAATTTACAAATGAAATATTTGCCTAAGCATACATCAGATCACTGCTCGATGCTCATTCATTTTCAGGAGCAACACGATTCCTACGGTCCTTCTCCTTTTTGATTCCAGAGGATGTGGTGTGAACATGAGAATTTTCAATCTTGTGTTGAGCTAGTATGGAGGGGTTGTGACTATGCAGAGGGGCTATGGGGTATGGACAAACTAGTAGCAAAATTAAAGGCCACAAAAATCGCTTTAAAAACGTGGAATAAGCAGGTGTTTGGGCAAGTGGAGTCTATCTCTGCTGAGTTGGAAGAGTGAGTTGAAAGTTTGGAGAATGTTCTTCAAAGTGGTTATATAGAGGAGGTGGAAAGGTAGTTTTTGAGATCTAAAATAGAGCTCATAGAGTGGTAAAGAAATGAGGAGATAAGGCTCTCTCAACAAGCCAAGAAAAAATGGCTGAGTGATGGGGATAACAATACTAAGTTCTTTCATGCTGTTATTGCACAGAAAAGACGAAGTATGAGGATATCTTCTATAACCTTGGGTGATGGGTCGGTGTTAAGTACCCCAAAAGAGATTCATATAGCGGCTGTGGATTATTTTCATAAGTTTCTTTCCGAGGAGCGTGATTTCCAATTGCCAAATTTGTCAGGTTATATCGATGAGTGCATCTCTAGGGAGGAGGGGCTTGAGCTTTGTAAGTTACCAACTAGGGAAGATGTGTGGGATGCTATACTCTCTATACCTGTTGACAGTTCTCCTGGTCCGGATGGGTTTAGCTCAGCCTTCTACAGAAATTGCTGGGAAATTATTAAAGAAGATGTTGTGGAGGCTGCTGTTGAGTTCTTTGAAGGGAAAACTATGGCAAGGTTTTATTCATCATCATATATTGTTCTCATCCCCAAGATGGAGAATCCTACGAGTTTAGACAAGTTTGGGCCTATCAGTCTTTGCTCGGTGGCTTACAAAATTTTTGCAAAGATAATGGTGAACAGAATGAAGGTGTTACTTCATAAAATCATATCATTGGAACAAGGGGCCTTTTTACCAGGACGTAGCATTTTTTAGAACATCACTCTCACACAGGAGATGGTACAATCCTTGAATGGCAAGGTTCGAGGTGGAAATGTGATGATTAAGGTGGATATGGCTAAGGCCTATGACAGAGTGGATTGGCACTTTCTAATTCATGTCTTGAGATCATTTGGTTTCCCGGTTGAGTTCTGATCTTTAATTTCAAAGTGCATTACTATCCCCTGGTTTTCTATTATGATGAATGACACGACTCAGGGTTTCTTTAAATTCTCAAGGGGTCTGAGATAAGGTGATCCCCTCTCGCCTTATCTTTTCATTATTATGGAAGATGTGTTGACTTGACTGTTACGAAAGAAGTTTGAGACAGATCGAATTGGAACCTTCTCACATCCCTGAGGGGCACCACTGGTCTCACATTTGCTGTATGCTGATGATCTTGTAGTTTTTGCTAATGGCAGTAAAAAATCCATGAAAAAGCTTATGAAAACATTTGCTTGTTATGAAAGGTGGTTCGGACAGTTGATAAACAGAGATAAGTCAGCTATTTTTCTATCTAAGAATTGCACAGTGGCACAAAAAGGTGAGATTCTTAGAGTTACTTCCTTCCAAGAGTGATCTTTTCCTTTTACATATTTGGGGGTTCCGGTGGTGTTGGACAGGTTAACGGCTCGTCATCTTCAAGGACTGGTGGACCAAATTAAGAGTAAAATTGCAGGCTGGAAATTGGAGTTACTATCACAAGGAGGTCGCCTCATTCTAATTAGACATGTGTTTTCTAGTATGGCAACACACTTACTATCTGTAGTGCACGTGCCTATGTCAGTCTTTAAATTCTTGAATTCAATTATATCATCTTTCTTTTGGGGTGAAATGAATGGAAGGCCAAAGAAAAAATGGGTTGCTTGGGAAAAGATGTGTAAACCGGAGATGGAGGGGGGTCTTGGTTTTCGTAGGTTTGAGGAGATACAACGGTCTCTACATATGAAGTTTGCATGGAAGCCACTGTCGGATGATTCTCTATGGGCAAGTTTCTTTAGAGCTAAGTATATAAAAAATGGCTTGGTGTATGTCTCTACACTGAACAGGAGGGGATCCAAATTTTGGAAATCTATCGTGGATGTTTTACCTGAGGTAGCTGCAAATTGTCAATGGAAGATCAATGAAGGAAATATCTCGTTTTGGTTTTCTCATTGGATGCCGAATGGCCCTCTATGTAACCAAGTTACTAACATTAACCAACCTGGTTTGAGAATATATGATGTGTGTTTGGAGTCCGGATGGGATATTGAGAGGTTACATGAACTAGTTGGAGAAGAGGTGGCGGGGAATATTATGCAAAAACTTCATGCTTGCAAGCCTGGTCAGGATATTTTGATATGAAAACCAAATAAACAGGGCATTTTCACTTCGAGAAGTGCTTGGGACATGCTTAGTATTAAAGCTCCAGATGTACATTGGGCCCAGTGGGTTTGGAACAAAGCTATTCCTAAGCGGGTGTCAGTGGTTATGTGGAAAGCTTTATCAGGGAGCCTCAGTGTGGATTCTAGTATTCGTAAAGTGGGTATTGCTATAGCTTCAAAATGCAATTGCTGTCTAGTAGGTCACGAGGAGAATACAGATCATGTATTGAGCACAGGGGACTTTGCGGATGAGGTTTGGAAGAAATTATCGCATTATTTAGGTTTGCAATGGAGGAGTAAACAAGGTTGGTGGGAGCGGGTTCCGCTATAGTGGGCTCGAGCTAAGCGATCTACACAACTAGGTTGTCTTCTTGGTATGCTTCCTTGTCTTATTACCTGGCATTTGTGGGTGCGGCGGTGTCGAGCTCGAATGGAGGGAAAGTATGAAACAATTGAGGAAGCAGTCACCTATAAAATCCTGGTTGCAACGGATGGCCTATTCCATCAAAAAGGTTAGAGCCCTTTCATCTCATGATGCTAGAATTTTGTCTGATTTGGACATTCCATGTTGATGCCGCGGCAAAGGCAAACTCGTATGATCACTTGGAGGAGACGGAGAGCGGGTGGGGTCAAACTTAATGTAGATGGCTGTAGCTTTGGGAACCATGGCCCATCTGGGTGTGGGGGTGTTATTAGAGATGAGTT